GAGCCAAGGAACATCTGCCTAGTTGGTTATTCAAGCAGGAAAACCGTTCCCCACGTTCCTCTATTACTGAACACTTGATGGACTCGGGTCATTCTGTAGACCCTATAACTTCATTCCGAGTTCTTGTTCGAGCACGAACATCTCGAATCTTGCGCTACCTGGAGGCAGCCTGTATAAGACGCTTTAAACCGGACCTATGCAAACAGTTGGAGCATGTGGTTAACCTTGCCTTGCCTTGGTAACTACAAGCCCCCAGATTTGCACATTTCCCTTGCCCCATTTCCCCTGCAACTCATTTTCCCTGTTTCCCCTTCCACTTTGTTTTAACCTTCCTCCTGTATGTGACTAAGGACCTATGACCTATCTGTACAAAGTTCAATTTCCTATTTTTCCCATTCGTGACCCTTCAACGCAATGAGTGGATGCAACCGAACAGCTCTCACGAAACTTATGGTGCCATTAAATTTTGCTCTGATTACTATATTCAAGTTCTCACCGGGAACACTATGCTTCACGTGTCTTTGTTTCTATCACCCTTCTCTCTGCATAGTGCTTGGCACACGAACTTTCATTAACCAATTTGCTTGACTGGCTAGCTAACAAACTGCGCTGGATGCAGTGGAAAGTGTGACTGCTGGTCGTTACCATCCGGTTTTTGCTGTCCAATTATTAAAAAAAAACAGTTTTGGGACCATAACTGAGTGGTTATTTGCGCTTTCTCCGCAAATGCAGGTGAAATGGATGAAGAATTCAGTCCACATTGTGGCAAGACGGGAATTCATTGAATACATGCTCAACGACCGGAGGGCTATTGAGGTGAGCGAAGCTCTGCGCAAGTTCGCGTACACGACGGTCCCCGATGAACAATTTTACGGCACCCTAGCCTACAATCCCCAGCTGGGAGCCCCTGGCGCCTGTCTGAAGACCTACGAGTATCGCGATGTGAACGTGACAGGGGCCCGCCTCCCTGGTATGATCCGCTACAAACTCTGGTACTCACCCACATGTCCTACCAAGCTGGTCCATGGTATTTGCATACTCGGATCACAGCATCTGCCCGATCTGATCAGTTCTGACAAATTAGTCGCCAACAAGTTTCACGAGGGTTACTACGCCGAAGGATACGACTGCCTTGAGTACGCGATTGCCGCTCGAACCTACATTGGCCCAGCCCCCCCTTCACTCTTTGCCAACCTCTACTGCTCCTCCGAACTCATATAACTGCTATTAAAAACCACTGACAATTTTTGAATGCAGAAAGAATCGCTTCTGCCAACGATTGTACATGGAAATTTTTTAATTGGTTTATTGCATTATTCCAATAGCAAGTCTTGATAACTGTTTTAACTGTGCTTTCAGGCATCGAAGCACGATTGTACTAAGGATAGGTAAAAGCAAAACAAAAAATTATTGCAAATACTTTTCTACACTCATAGGCCCAAATTACAAAGGCGGTTTTGTCATTTGCATTTTTATTACTCAAA